TTTTTTCCTCTCCTTTTTCTTTTTTTTTTTCTTTTTCTCTTTCTCCTCTCGATAATTCAAATAGCGGGCGTGCGCGCTCCGTCGATTAGCCGGGTCACGTGAATCCAACTGCGAAAATCCCTAGGGAAAATCATTTTCTTCCCATGATCCAAGTTTCTCCTGGGTATATTGGCCACGGTGTATCAGATCTGTCGTATATCTTCCAGAAAGATATTACTACGCTGTTACTTTTCTCGCGCGTATCTCGTATCCTCTTAAAACGTGAATAACCAAAGAAACGAGGGAAATCCATTTTTCTTCTTTACATTTGTGGAATATTTTTAGTGTTGGATATTTTTAGAAATTTAATACAAAGAGATGGTGATAACTTTGTTACGTTTTGAATTATTTCCAATCTTATTATTACTATCATTTTTTCCTTCTTCCATTTCAACTTTAATTCAATAAATAATATTGTAATAATATTATAATAATAACAAATAATTTGCCTTGTTTTTATTTAAATATTTTTATTTTATTTTATTATTCCATCATTGAAAAAATAAAATATTTTACGTTAAGCATATATAATTTTTTTTATCTTTATTTAAATATTTTTATTCTATCTCTCTCTCTCTATATATATATATATACTATACTTCGATCACCAAGAGTAAAGTGTTATACATTGATGGATTTTGCAGGATAGATTTAGGATACTCGATGCATGCCCCGCTTATCACCGTTTTTCGCCTCCGCATTTCCCGAACATTTACTTTCAATGCTTCCGCTACTTATCGGAAAATATTACACGACAAAAGATGAGCACGCTTCTTTTATCCTTTAATTTCCTCCTCATCCTAGTTCCTGTCATGTTCATCTTGTAAAATTTTTTTTTTTTTTGTTTTAAATCCTTTACATTACGTTACAAAAGTATCTTTCGAAAATTTTGAAAAATTTTCTTCGGTACGAAAAAATAACAACGATTGAACATTTAAATTGAATACGATGTAGAATCTTTGTTAACAAAGCTGTACAATATGGTTTACGCGAGATTGAGTTTTCTCGAAGGAAAAATCAGAAGAGAAAGAAGATCTGGAATAACAAAGAGACAGTATAGGAGAGCAAGCATGTTTTTCCTATAACAATACGAGCTCTGTCTCTCTCTCTCTCTTTCTCTCTACGTTTTCGCGTGAATCCCTACAATAACATCGGAGACCAAGTAATAACACCAGTTTCACCTGAGATGCGAGGCAAATATAGCGTAGGGAGTTTCATCCTCGACCCAGAAGGAACTTTGTTTAACCGTTGTACCAATGAAATTACACTTTTCGATCGTTGTCGCTTAATTGATTCATTAAACCTCAACCGGTATCGTCGGATTACTGGTACCTAACCAATTGGATTAAATTTTAATTACGGCACTTCGTTTCAAGGTATTTGATTTCAATTTCCCGCACTTGTATTTTACAGGATAGAAACCTAATTGGGGGAAAATTTTAAGGATACAAAACTTTCACAATCGGGAAATTCTCTAGAATTCTCTATTAGAACGTTATAATCAACCAACGAAAAGTTTCGAACGAATTAGATGAGATAAAAGAAAATCCCTAGAATACCACTAGATTCGTAATACATACGTAAAATTTACTTAATTAGAAAAATATTTTTAAAGAAACAATAAGAATTAGAAACCCTAAGATTTATTTACAATCTTAAAATCTGTTAACTAATTACAGAAATATTAAAATAATAATTTTTCTTAAAATTCATTTTAAAATACATTCACGATGCGCTTGACGATACATTCGAAAGCAGGAAGTGGTCTACATGTCATTTTCCAATCGGCCTGGGAAAAGTAACGTGCGAATCGTCCTGTAGGAAGCATGATGAAAGGTGGGAACGCGGTTTTCCATCGTGCGAAAAGGGCCTTTGTAACGCATTGAAACACGGCTTATCGACGCCCACGAGGATTGGTGTTTCCGCCTGTATTCCTGGTACAACTATGGAACAACACGAACCGGATACAGAGGGTGTGCGTGACAGCGGCAAAAAGCAGAGATAAAAAATTCTCGAGACGCGCAAAGGGACTAGTATTATTCGCCCGTCGTACGCGAATCGCTACGCGAATTCTTGAACGCGCGACGTGCGTGCGCATTCGATCACGATATACACTGGTGGCAGCTGCTTCTGCGATGCAAATTCCCCCTAATTGCAGATCGCAGTTCACCGATAACGCGTTTACGGAAAGCTAATAAATTTCTCTAATAACAGGCCGCGACAGGAATTTATAATGAAGAAATTTACGTGGCCGGTTACTTCGAGTGCGCGTTGTATATATAGATCATCTTCACGCGACCGCCATTTTCTCCTTCGAGTCGAGTTTGATCTTGGCCGTATTTCTCTGAGAGCTGGTCGATATACCAGGTTAAGTTTGCTTTAAATAATTAACATTGTGGAACTGGTAGGTTAGAAGGGCCGAA